TATTGCGTGCGACGCCGTACACATAAAAGATAAAAGTCGCGTAATCATCGACAGACCCTGCCAAACACAATTCGCTCGTTTCAAAGGAAGCCTTAATTAACTCTTCCACGCACAACTGGTTAGCGGAAACTTTTTTTTATTCAAAGTGATTGCTTTTCAATCTCATTTTAAAATCCAAGAACAAGAAGCATACATTTTGTTATTTTATTTATTTGCTCTTCCATAAGAAAAATTAAAAAATCATGACAATAAGACTTAAATATGTTGCGAGCATAAAATTAATATTTTTTCCCTATAGCTTCTTTGAGGGTTGCTATATTTGGCCACAAATGTATTAAAATCCACGTTTTTCAACATTCTTACTGGATATCATAAAATTTAAAAGTCATTCATTGTATTAGGTTGATCAAATGTCAGAAAGGATAAGGTGTTTTTGCATTTTATACTCACAATCAGTACCTTCCTCCCAATCTAGTTCTGCTACTAAAAATATCTTCAAAAGGAAATCATTAAGTTCCTTCCTAACCTAAGAATTTAGAAATCAGTGATTTTTTTTCTAATTTCCAAGCTTCTGACAATACCTCTTTGAATCCTTTAAAAAGGCTTTAAAGAAGCAACGGTGTACAGAGGAATTAAATATTTTTCAGCAGTTAATCATAGATGAAGTACCACAATCTGAATGATTTTTAATCCATTGTTTTATCCTTTTGCTTTTCTTTTAATAATTTCAATTTCAATTTTTAAAAATTAAATAAAATATCAACAAACCAAAGTAGTTTCAAATACTAAGACTGTCTTTAAAGTACTGTCATTTTTCCAGAACAGATTCATTTCCAACTGATGTCAAAATCAGTCGCATTCCCGTGGGCCACGAAAGTGCCCTTGAGGAGTCTCTCCAGAAAATAAGAGCTCTCTCTCTCTCTCTCACTCTCGCGTGTAGAAAAAAGGAAAAGTGAGTGCGAAGAAGAAGACAGCAGAAAGCAAGAGCGAAACCCGATAGCGTCTGACTGACTTCGAGAGACAGCTGGGCCGGGCAGGCGCGCAAATTTTCAATTTCACAGTGGAGAAAACGTGCCAAGCGAGTATCAAGTATCGCCGCGCGTCAAGATTTATCTGCGAAATGAAGTGGCAGGCAGAAAGGGGGGTCGCCGCGTTAAATTGTGTCTCTCGTTGTTTGACAGTTTCGCGGCCGACGAGACACAGCGTCCGTTTCTCAGCCGCAAAGTCCATCTCCTGCTTCACTCTCTTTTTGCGGCCACACTCATCATCTGCTAATTCTTTAAATGCGACTCAAAGAGCGACGTTCTTCAGCAGTAACATGTGCCGCGTCTTTCACTATTTGGAGAGCTCTAGAAAAAAAAGAGTCGGAAAAAGAAAGATACACGCTGCAGAAGACTATTTTCAGAAGAGTTAAAACTTAAAACTTACAGGCTGAATCGTCAACCTGAAGAATATTTTTGACTATATTATTATGAATTTGGCTCAAATTGTCATGAATTTTTACAAAACCAATCTGTATTTAGAAAATAACTAGGACATATGAATTAATCAGTTTTCCTCAACATAATTTAACACTTTCCCTTTTAAATTGCATTTTTTTTTTGCAGACAATGCTAAAATGTTGGATGAATGTATGAGTAATTTCAAATTGCGTTGTGGTATATTATACAATGTATACTTTTGTAATTTTTTCATCAACAAACTATCAGCACTTTTCTTGTTGGAACTGCTGAAGAAACTCTATGATTAATTGGAGACGAAAAGCTACACGCCCAAGATTACGATCAATTTTTCCTGCGCTAGATTAATGAAAAAGAGACGGCAAGAAACTAACTCGGTCTGAATAATGATTGCAAAAAACGCCTTCACGTTCTGCAAGCTTCATTAACTCTTTGGGCGAAAAACGGAGAAAAGTGGCGAAATCTTTAATTAATCATATTTCTTCCAAGCCAGTCAAGAAAAGAGGCCGCAAATATGCATAAAAAGTGCAACTCACGCCGACGAGAAAAAGTTGCTGAACGCTTTGAAAATTTCCAGAGACACGGCGGCAGAAAAAGGGGCCAGAAAAACGAGTAAGGAATCGTTGTTTGTTTTGATAAATGGTTTCGACGGTGTTGGCGTAATTATTGTTGTCGGTGCAGCCGTAAACAATAACACGGGGTGCGTTTTTTATTACCAAACTTGGGCCATTTTTCACGCAGCGGGCCACGATGAGTGTCAGGTGCGTGCGTGCACCTGACCGTTCACGCACGCAAATTGAAACAACGACCGTCCAAGCGTGCAGATTTTTCTTCTCGTGTTCACTCCACTGGAAAAGATACCCGATTTTTTTCTTAGCTAAAAAAATGCGTGGAGCAATTGTAGCGCAAGTTTCGGCTGCAACGGCACTTTTTGGAGACAAACGATGCCACTTTTTCCTCGACTGCGTCTGGGGTTTGCACATGGCTCCAAGAAAATTGGGCGTATAAAGGGCGCGTCAACGCGTTTTCCCCAGATTTCGGCTCACGATTTATGTTCCATATGAAGAGAGAAAACCTTCACATATTTATCAAAAATAGACGGCGAGGTACAAATACCGGGCTTTCCTGTTTTATTTTGATTTTGTTTTACTAATTTTTATAGAGAAACAAGATAAACCTAAATACTATGATTTTTCTATTTAATTATTGTTAAAAATTAAATGAAAGTAAATAAAAACAAATATTACTACATAATTGTATGATTAATAAATTTTAAAATTAAGGATAATGATTTTCACAAACTGTTTTTTAAGTATTTTAAATTACATTTGATAAATATATTGCAAAAAGTGAACTAATAGATTGAAGATTGAAATTTCTGTAAATATATAATTGTGGATTGATTCTAGTAGACAAGAACGTACTTAATTGATTTAATTGATTATCACTGCAATACATTTTTTTATAATAGAAATATCAGAAATATCTATATTTTCAAAGATTTTTTTTTAATATAATTGAAAATTCTCCCCTGTGGCTGGAGAGGCAAAAATATTCCTAAGCATATTTCTGCATTTTAAAATGTAGTAATTTAAAATTTGGCACTTCTCTTTATAATTTCTGCCTATTTAATTCTTTTCGCGAGTATTCTGGCCAGCATTTTTTTGTTACTGTGATATTTTTTAAGTGATATTTTTATGCTGAATATTCAGCACGTAGCAATGTTCCATAGAAAATGAATAAATAAACAATCCAGGCATAAGCTCTGACATTTCCAAGAACTCTAAATATCGATAGGGAAAATCAAGCTTTCATAGACAACCGATTTCGTTCCCTCCAGTACATTATTTGATCCAGAATAAAATTGACTCCGCAGAATCCCAAAAAGCTTCCTATTGTTTTCATATTTCCCATCAAATATTTATCCGACCAAATCCCAATCTAGCAATCTCCTTTGAGCTCTAGGATTTTTATTCCTTTTTTTTCGACGAAAAAAAATTACTTCTTGCAGCGTTTTATTCGATCGGTGAGCACAACTCACCCTTTTTATTTTGATTCAATTCCAGCTCGAGAGAACGAAATTTCAATTTTGCACGGGGTGTTCGGGGGGTAAGCTTGCATGGGTCATTTCACCCTCTGTCACAACAAGGGATTAGGACGGGTTCTTTCTTTTCCCGTGCAAAGCCTCGCCCGTCGTCGATTTGGTCCTGCAGCAGCTGGTGCATGCTGCGCCGCACTGCACACGGGCCGGGCACGTTGCCTACCTGCGGCCCCTGGCAGGCGACCCCTATCTCGCCTGCGGGTGGGTCACTTGTAAATTGGGCAAAGTGCGCGGGTCCATTCACTCTTGTGTAGATTAAATTGTCACTTTCGCCGTTGCAGCCGCTGCCGCTATCAATTTAATAGAAAAGGGCAGTCGCTCGGCTGACTTGCATTGTTATGTGTGATTGCAGCGGCCTCACAAACCAACGACCAGATAGCTTTATGTGAGCCTCCATATTGCTAACAGGTTGATGCACCACTGGATTAGAAGTAATATTATATTGAGAAATCCCTCGCAGCTGCCAAGCTTCTTCTCCCTTCCACTTTTAATCTCGCGCTTTATTATTTCCATTCAACTTAATTTACGTCGGTACTTCTTGCACACGGCGAGGTAATATTCTTTCTTTCTTCCTTAAAGGAGCAGTTTCCCAGTCAATAAAGAAGGAAAGTTTTCTTTTTTACGTTTTCTCCCCTTCCTTACCCGAGTAGGAAATTGAATTACAAATTGAAAATGGAGACCGTTAAAAGTGCATAAATATTTTTTCGGCTGATATCAAATTTGTGCACAAAGATTCGCTCTTGTCGTAAAACTTCTGCCTGCTCGCATAAAAAATTCACCGCTTTTCAAAACAAGTCACATACATCTCTGGAAAAATATTCCTACAGTGAAGAAGAGAAGGAAAATATGTTTTTCTCCGTTTTGTTGCGCAAAATTGTTCTGTGCCTCTGGAAAAAATATTGAAGAGAAAGAAGAAGGAGCAGAAAGAAGGTTCAGTATTTTTATTCTACAGAATGACAAATGAGAAAATTAGTGGACCACCAAGCTCTTATAATAATTAAATTCCGCTCTTGTTTTTAATCAAACAATTTGATTGTAAATTTGATTTGTCGGAGGTGGGAGTTTATTTAAAATTTTTCCCAAAGTAATTATTCCCACTGATGAAGACTGTAGGTCAGCCAACTGACTTTTTTTAGTAAAATCTTGATGATAATGCCAAACGTTTTGTCTGCTCTGCGGGGAGAAACATATTTTATTGTAACGTATTGTAATTCTAGAAGGATTTATATATTTTATATTTTGTTTCTATGCTTCGTGAAGTAGTTTTTGGTTCAATTCTTGATAGATTTAAATACCAAAGTAAGTTTCCTAATTAATGTAATTTTTTCCTTACATGATAATCAATCAAATGAAATTGAAATTTAGAAAAACTGCAAATCGATTTGCGCATTTTTTTTATAATCGGTTGAAAACTAATTAAAAAATTTTTGAGTACTCACCATGGTCGCCCTTTTTGTCGTCTGGTGAGCCGCAGTCGGCGGCGGCGGCCAGGTCGTCTTCGGCCGGCGACGCGGCCGCCTGTCTGGCCGTTTTCGGTTCGGGCTGCTGCTGTTTTTCTGAGTCGGCACAGCAGAGCAGATGCGTTGCGGCGCCGTTACTGGCGTTGTTGTTGAAGGTTTCTGGGGGGCCGGTGCTGACCATCATGCTTGCGTCTAGTGCGTCAGGTCAGGGCCACTGCATGTGCCCACTGGTCGCAGGGGCTGCTCGCCGCTCACCGCCGGTACCTGCACTGGCTGCCTCGCCGCCGCCGCCGCTGACCTGTCGCTCAAAGTGCGCGCGACGACGCCGCCAGAGCCATCCGAAAGCGGCGCCACCAACTGACGCCTCTGCCGAGTGCTGCTCGCGCCACACAGATGGGCTGCCCTGTATCAATTTTGACTCGCTTTAGAAATTTTCAGACTAATAGCATTAAAGTTAAAAATATTCAATAATAATAAACAATAAATAAAAATGTTTTCTCCTTAATAAATATATTTAATTAGATTTTTTTAATAGAATCTGTAAATTATTATTATCATTTTTTTTAAACTTTTGAAATACAATTTCATTGAAAAGTTAACAATGTGAGATGTTTCATGATATGATTGTAAATCAGTGATAATGTAAATAATTTAAAGGGCCTTGTGAAAACACGGCAAAGTTGATAACAATCATAACAATGATGCCATTGGTTTCTGGACATGCTTATTCATTGGTGTTTTAATTAAAAACTATAATGTGTGTTGAAATTGAATGGGAAACAAATTGTAAAAATAAATTATTTATATTTTTACTTCTCACACAACGAGCAAAATATTTGTCTGTGAATATTGTATGTATTTTAAAATCTTTAAAAAACGTGTATAAAATCAACAATTATTTTGTTTGAAGAAGTTGACACTCGAGGAGATGATCATGGAAGTGAAGAAAATCGGGCCTGTCCTCGTTGTAAAAATTGTTTTTATTCAATTTTATTCATGAGCCGTTTTATTTTTGAATAAAAACAATTTTTTACAACAGGACAAACCCGATTTTCTTCATTTCCATCAACAATTATTTACAATTAGAAAAATTTAGTAGAGCAGTTAAAAAAAAAGATTGCAAAAAATATCTAACAAAATGATATGTATATTGTAATAAAAAATTTAAAATTAAAGATGAATCTAGTAAAACTAATTTTTTTTTTTTAAATTTATGTTTTCAGTGGTTTTTAAGCAAAAATAAAAATCATGAAATTGGGCTGCATTGTTTTTTTCTTTTAATTCTCAGGAGCTTGAAAAATTCGCGTGTAAATTTGCATGAAATTTGCTTTGTCTCATATCGAACGCACGCTTTTCAATGCTAGACTGGTGATTATTTTAATGAATTGATTGTGCACAGCCGTATTATTCCTCTTAAAAAATCATGGCTGCGAAAGTTAAAATAATTTTTTTTTATCATTTTTATAATTTGTATTAGAGGATGTCAATTTAAACCTTAACATAATAAATTAGCAATTATCTCATCTAAATTGAGCGTAATTTTGATCTAATTATTAGTGGATAAGTTAGGAGAGTAAAGGAAACGCGTCAATTAGCAAATTATTAATTAACATGGACCATGAATGATCGACTCATGTTGCATGTGGCCATTTCCTCTCGCAATTAGTGTCAAATGCAATATTGCACATAGGGTATCGAGCAACGCAAGCTAGAAACAATAATGCAACATCTCCTTCGGTCGATACGTTCCTCCAATGACGTGATGCTTGAACAATTGCAATTCAATTAATATCCACCTCTCTCTTTATTGCTCTCGCACTTGAACAGAAATTATTCCCGTTGTGCTCCAACACGTGACGCTCCACTGAAAAGCTTTTGAAATTCGCAATTAGCGCAGTCTGGCCGTGCTAGAACGCTCTCAGTTAATTTAAAATTCCCTTTTGCATGCAAATATTGCCAGAGCGGAGCGGTTTTGTCATCACCGGGTTGGTTCGCTGTGATGGCTGTTGCTAAGCCCACTATGTAGATAGATCAGGTTGCAGTTTGTGTGTAACGACAGGTGAGAGCAGGTGAGAGTTGACAAAGTGCTTAAAACAATGTAGGCTGCAAAATTACTTACAAAGTAAAAAAAAACTGCTCAGGTTTTCAACAATTTTATCGACTCTCATATCTATAATAAAATATATTTACACTTTTTTTGCAAATATCAGTTGATTGAATTTGATCCTGGATGTTTTAGCAAAAACTTTTGCAAGTTTTGGTGCCTTTGCGTCTTAAAAATTCAATTTCGCCCTTGCAAAAATTGTTTCTAGACTCAAAAATAAATAGGTTTATAAAATTATATATTTAAATTTCAAGCAACAATTAAATGATCATCAAAAATTTTTTATATAAAAATAAGACACCACTTCTGGTGTTGGTCTCTGCCTAGAAAATTCCTTGAATTCTGGAGCAACCCAAATAATATTTTTTTACGACAGTGTAATTTTGTAAAGGAACACTCTGGAGGAGCAAAAAACTCGTATAAAGAGCAGAATAATTTAGAGTAACGCGACCGTTCCAAAAAGTGTCGCAACAATGGGCACAATAATGGGCTATGTATATATTCGTGTATCTCTACTGCAGCGTCCTTTCTGCTGCAGCTTCTACAAAAGTTGCGCCTGGTAGACAATAGGACGCAGCCTGGCGCTTTTTGCCATCAGATAAAACGAGACGACTCTACTTCTTGCCACGATTGCTCTGTGAATTTACTGCCAACCGCAATCCACGGATATACAGCGAGAAAGAGAAAGTTCTTGGGTAAATTTGCGATCTTGCAAGGGAGAGAGAGTGACAAATAATCCGACGTACGTCCTGCGTAAATAATTGCGGTGAGGAACAATTTAACTTGCACTCACTAGTCAGACCAGAGAGAGATATGAATGAGTCAACTGGGTAACAAAAGAAAGAGAAAAAGATTGAAAGGACCTTATAATAAATTGCAAACAATCAAGGAAGGAGTTAGACAAATTTAGCAAGTTTTATTATCAATGATTAATACAATTTTCTTTTTCAAGTATCCAGTTTTTATGAGAAGATCATATTGTGGGGGTAAAATTGGGGTTCAGTCCATTTTTGATTATTCTCCAATATAAATAAAACCGGTTTCAACAATTTGAACAAAAATGTAAGCGCTTACAATGTTTCAAGTGTTAGGCGCCTGATGTTTTATTAAAGAAAAAAAAAATGAATAAGCGCAAATTTCAATTAAATTATTTGATTTTATTTTAAAAGCGAACAAATAAACAAAATTTCTTTTAATTTTTGGCCATTTTCTAATTTTGATTTAATATAGTTTAAATGTCACCAGTACAGACTGACGTCACTGGCGTGAAAATGGCTTAACTTTTAACATTCACAGTTTCTGAAAGATATTGATGTAAAAAAAAGCTTTATTTAATTACAAAATTGAAAAGAATCCATAAAGCTCAAGAATAAAACAGAATAATTTTTCTCATTTTGATTAATTTCCTTTAGCCTTCATAACTTTCAAATAATAGTTATCTATTTGAAAAATTACTTATTTTTAAAATCAATATATAGAAGCACTGATACAAAAATTCATTTTGATCTCTTCGCCCCCTAATACCTTCGATTTCTCACACAATAGCACATCACTAATTAATTCCTCTCGGCGGCACTGGTGCACATGTCTGGATTCGATACGCATTCAGCCCTTGGGAAACTTTAATTGGTTCATTGAAGCCTAGTCACATCCAGAGTAGCAAACTTGCCGTTCGCCTTCTATCTCTCTCCGTCTCTGAGCCGCTTGATCCTGCCGGAAAAAAGTCTTGCAATTTCCTCTCTGCTCGCCCTCGGCGCGCGCGTGTTTGCAAAAGATCCAGAATTGATATATCTGGCCTGGGAGCCTCGGGGAGCGAGTTTTGTATTTGAAAAGACGAAACGACTAGTGACTGCCGATTTGTTATTAATATTTCCATTTGCAAACAATGAAATGTTCTAAATGAAAAAAAATACGATATAGGTTTGGGGAAAATACTGCGTCTTTTCGCAAGAGAGGGATTTTTTTGGTAATCTCTATTTGCAAATATGCGTTTTCTCTTTTCAGATGGCTGATTTGGATTTTTGCTGACACATTGAAAAACGATGAAACTGAATATTCTTCTCTAGAGAAATAAGCTTGGTTGAATTTGTAAGCTAGAAATAATATATGTTAGTTTTGTGTCAATGTAAATTTTTATAATAAAACTCTCTCTATACTCCCAATTATTTCTATAAATTTTTATATAAAAAAACTTTGATACCTATGCAAAGTCGAATAAAATAAAATATGTATCTTATAAAATTATACTACACTTTTATAATTAATATCGTAAAACCAACTTTAATAATAAATGAAATAATTGCACATTAGGGTCACTGACCTCGTTTGAATGAAATGAAATAAAATCCAAGTGTGAAGTAAACATTTCCCCTTGGCATGCAACTGGATACCTTGGCATTCTTCAGCATCCGACGGTATTTTCATAAAATATTACTGGAGGCGATCGCCCCGCGTGATAACGATCAGGTTCGCCATAATTCATGGTGCTGCATCAAATACCAGCAGGCATCAGATGTGCTCTCCCCTTATTGATTAACGGCGGAGGCGCGTCTAATTCACTAAATGAGAGTAGTTGATCTCGTCTCATTAATTTCTCACTCGCACACACACACAGCGAGGGATGCCAAGCGAAATTCACATCACCCGGGAAATTCGAGCTCTCCGTAATAAAATAATAATGGAAATGGTTGCAGCCGTTGAGATGCAGCAGCAGCGGAAGGTGTAACTAATGAAAATCGTGACTCGCAAAGGCCTCATTTTTGCTCGCTAATGGCAGTGTGGAATTACAGCGGCACCGAGAGATGCATTCAGTTTGTGCAACGCCGCAGACGCAATTTCGTGCAGGTGCAAATGGGACTGTATGCACCTGACTGAGTGCATTCAAGATTATTTCACGTTTCCGAGCCAATAATGGTGGCGATCGTTACCATTTTTAGTTCTGTATAATTTATCTTGGGGTCATTGTAATTCAGACAGTATGATTTAACTGGGAAAACCGAATAAGTAAAATTTTTGCACACGTTTTATTGAAAGTGGAAAGTCAAAATGATTGCAGGAAATAATCTTCATAATAGTATTTAATTCAATCTTCAATATATTTTGCTTTTTTAATTAATGGGAGAAACTAAGAAACCAAATTTCTATGCATTTACTATTTATTTCATATAAATAAAATTTATACTGATCGATTAAAAAATATTGTTTCTTGTCAGACAACTTTCAAATTTACTTTCACAAAAATTTAACTTCTTTATATAAAAATTTTCTATGTTAGCAGTTTAATCACGCGTTAAATAAGA